TCGAGTCGACTTATGTTTATTCATTCTCGTTCAGCGCATATCATGTTTTTCGAATTTCAGTGTGGTACGTTTTTTTTTCGCCTTTGCCATTTTGATTTTCGCACATTGGCTTTTATCGTTCTCTCTTCATTTAGTTTCTTTTTTCTTTCCTCCTATCTGTTTATTGTGTGGCAGCTTTTTTTATGTAAGTGTGTTTGGTTTTGGCGGTTGAGCCTGGTGAAAAAAAAAATCGTGATTTTTGCCGCTGGATAAATTTTTCGTGATCTGTGGCCGTACAATCTGTACACTGACACATTGACGACGATATATTAAATGAAATAAATTGGCCAAAGCACTTTTTATTATTGCATTCTTTTCCTTTTGCTTTCAAAGTTAAATCCTGATGTGACGCCTGCAAATTTTCTCCAAGTGAACGCGAGCCAGAGAAATGGGAAAAAAGTAGACCAGGAGATGAAGAACCAAATAATGAATTGGCATCTCTTGAGGGATTGGATCTCTCTCTCTCTCTCTCTCTCTCTCTGTGTGTGTGTGTGTACGCGCGCTCGCATAAATGATGATGAAAACATATTTGCTTTGGAGTTGTCCGATCCGATGGATCTTGATTGTTTTTCTCTTTTCTTCTTCTTATTATTTAGTTCTCGTAACATGCAAATAATTTATCTCATTTGTGGTGACTGGCGCGCCCGCGTTTGTTGAAATGTGTGTAGTGTGTGATGCTGTTGTTGTTTTTATTTTGTATTGTTGAATTGTGCATGCAATTGGCTTGTTTTAAATGTTCATTCGCTCGTTTGTTCGACAGATGCCCAGACTTTCAAATACACAACCTATTCAATAGTTTATTTATGTCAGATATTTATGGTTTTGTTTCCACCGAAGCCACAACGTTCTCTCACTCTCGGTTCCAATATCATGGAACTTATTTCTTCAACGTGCACTTCACGCGCTTGATTTATTTCGGCTAAATGCAAAACGAAACCGATTTTCGTATTTTGCGCACATAAAACACTTCACCATTCACAACATTCAACATACACGTATATATTGGCATTCACAAATCACTTGCAATCGAATGTGTATCGCCCATCGTACGTCGAAACAAGCGCGCTCGCGCTCACGCCCATTTACTTGTCGGCTCACAGTATCACGAAATGAAATACACGAGAGTTGTAGTGCGAACGCTCGCGCACACACGCTGATATAATGTTGTGATGTTAAATCAGAGAGGCTAATTGCTGACATGTATCTTCATTATACACATTTTAATAACAACTAATGGAAGTTGAATTAAAATCATTTTCGGTCTTTCCATCTCTTCTCAATCACAGAGTGTAGATTTTTGACTCTCTTTGCCAATCGCTTGTTGTTCTTCACATTTGCTATCGCATTTACCAATCTTTATTCTGAAAATGCTTGTTAATAAGACGTGTGCTGTGTACGATGTTTGGCGTTTTCGATCGCCCGTGATTCAAACCTCTCTCGCTCTCCTTTGCTCTCTGCTTGTGTACAAAATCTGTCAGTTTGTGTGGTGGTTTTTTTTGTCGATGTGATTTTTTCATGCTTTTTTATCTTTTGCTCTTCAAATGATTAAATGTTTGCTGTCTGACGCCGTGTTATTCAGTTGTTAGTCTTCGTCTTTTTCAATCTCTCTCACTCACTCGTTTCGTCTTACGTCGAATAACAATACAAAACTAAACGATATAATTCAGTGTTTTGTGATTATTAAAAATAGATTAGTGTTGAAATCAGAGATGCTCATCTACACAATTGTGTTTGCGTCTCATTTCCACCTCTTTCACTTGATGCTATTTTCTTTATCACGCCATAATGACTACACACATGAACTATCCAGCCATTAACTTCTTTTTGTTTTGCCGTTGTGCGTTTAAAACTGTTGAGATGATGTAGCCGTTGTTGTTGTTGTTGGATTTTTTATTTGCTGTTTGATTGCATGAATTATTACCTCGCATTATTATAAATTAAAATAAAATGATTAATGACATTCATTTTTATTTGTTTATTGTTGCTGTTATGTTTGAATCACTAGTGCCGGTTTTTTCATGTCTTCTTTTTCCCAGTTGCTCGTTCCCTCTTCCTTCAATATAGCCTCTCGCTCTCAGTGTGTTTGGATGAATTTGTTCATCACGAGCTTTGGTCCGACTCTCTCTCTCTCTCTCTCTCTCTCTCGCTGTACATTTTTTACATCTATCTTCTCCACTTCATATTCTTCATTCAATGTGGCTCTGTTCTTTATTCGTTCAGTTTTACTGAATGAGCGACTATATCTATTTATCTTGTTGCTGGTTTATTGTTTCATTCTTCAAATCGGTACGTTTTCAACAATTTCTAGTAAATTTAAATTAATGCCTTTTTCCAATGTCTAAGCGATTTGTTATGTTCTCGGATATAATTTATCAAATGCATAATCTATTTTTGAGTCCGACACACACACGCACTCATACACCCAACAAATATTGAAATTTATGATGGATTTTTATTATGAGCTGTTGTTGAGTCCAATCTGCTTGTATTGCGTGTGATGAATTCAGGGTTTCAAAGTGCATCTACAAATGAATTTGTACAGCTTTACTCTGGCTATAAGATGTCGAACACGACAGTTTTTTTATGTCCATACAACACGCTGTTGATGTGGCCACAAGACATCAAAGTCACACACAGAAGAGAAAAGAAGAGAAAAAAAGCGATCATGACAACAGCAGCATCACCATCACTAACGATTGATTGGCGCACTGCATGTTGTGCGGCTGTATCAGATAATCTTGTAATCGAAACGAAAACTGATTAAATCTATCTTCTCAATTTATTTCTAATTTATGTCGATGCGCCAAGGAATTTATGTGAAATCTTTGGAACATGGTGGTGATTCTCTGTTGTTGTTGTTGCTTCAGTGATTGACGCTGGTTTTTATATGCCAATGGCATTTATCATTCTCGTCAAATGAACTTTTTTTTTCGTCGTCTTCTGAGTGAATTTTCGTTTTTGCCCAACAGCAACAATAACAATATAATCAACGCATTACAATGTTTTCATTTAAGTCGGGCACAAGTGTGATTATCGGGTAACATCGCTGCCGCCAATCTTGTTACATGAACATTGTTCCGTGGGCTTGTTTTACTTTTCGATTTCGTTGCGCTTGTGGTTTTTCTTTTTGTTTTATTTTTTGAGTGATCGCGTTAATTTAGTTGGTTTTGTTTGTGCTTAAATGACTTGAACTAATCACTGTCTGTTGTTGTTTAATACCAATGGTTTAATTTTTCTTTCCCATTTTCTCATAAATATATAATTTGTCTTCATCAATTCGGCATTTTTGCTTTGGTTTTTGTATTCGAAGTGAGCCGTTTAAAGCCTTTTGCCCATTTAAAAACATTGTATTTTAACGCGATGACTGATGGCATCAATGTAAACAGATAAATTCCGGAATTTCATGTGAATTTCATAAATAGAAATTGGCTTTGCGAATGGGCACGCATTCCGCACTTTTATGTTTATAAATTATTCACACACAAAGACACTTAATGCAACAATACACTATGCGATTTGGTCGAATTGATTCGAATGCTCAAAACACATATCAAAAATGCATTGAACTGTGTGTTTTAAATCGTGTTTCCCCTTTCTCTCTCGCTCTCTCTCATCTCGATTTTGTTTGAATGATGCAAATAAAAAAATGCAGCCGACGCACGTTTGCTCTCTCAGCGCCAGACTAAACACGCAAAAAACCAATCTGTTAAAGAGAGCAACAATTTCCAGTTTGCGCGGCATATTTATAAACAAGGAATTGCGTGAAAATCATTGCATGATTTTTCTTATGCCATTGGCGCAACCAACTCAAAGAAAGACATAAAATTAAATAAATAGAGACATTACAAAAATTGCAAGCGACAGAAATATTAAATTTAAAAAACAAATAATAACGAGAGAGATAAATTATTAATGCTGTAAAATTTTCGTATTTTTATATTTCTAATATGAAGCAGCACCATAACATAACGAGATCGAAAACAACATGCATTGTAATTGAATCGTTTGTCTCGCCAATTGTATAAATGGTATAAAAGAAATGAAGAAATCAGCAACAAAGTAATATGAATGAATGAGTGACGAGCCGCGCGGCGAATAAACAATACGCCAAACGTATACGTACACAAAATTGAATTGAGCGAGCAGAGCAAACAAAAAGACAACAACAGCACAGCACAGAGAGAAAAACAAGCATATATTTAACCATCCTAACATAACAAGGCGCATTGAGATCGCAGTCTTTAGCTCTGCGCGAAGCGGACAAGATCAAACGAAAGATTAATAACAACGATGAAACGCTTTCCGTTTATATTTGCGCTTGACGTTCACGGCGTACGCAGTACATATTACAAACATATTTATCTCGACATGGGTGGCAAAAAAAAATTAACACATTTACAAATGAAGACGCACCATAAAAACTAAATGCACGGGCCTGACAGCAAAGGCAACCAAAAAAAAAACCATTTAATAGCTAGTTCAAGTGAAGATAGAGAGTGAGACAGCGTGAATGAGAGAGGAAGAGAGAAAGAGAGCGAGGCAGGTCACATCATAACTAGAGTTGAGAAATCAACAAAGGCGCACCAACAACCAATTTTGTATTGATGGGTTTGTACTTCATCGTTTGCTTTCTATTAAAAGAGCTACAGTTTTAAATCGCGAAATAAATGGTCCGAACGAGACTCGCATAAAAATCGAATGCATTCACCGCAACAGCTCAACTCAAAATAACAACACATCCATGCGGCGATGCACATACTTTGAGAAATACATCACATATCCCCGCATCAATGTACACATACCAACAGACAGGTGCGTGTGTATGTGCTCGAGTCTATAGCAAACGACAGGAGTAGGGATAGCGCGCATGAATTCTATTGGTGCATACACACATAAACCTGAGAGCCATGTTGGAAAAATGTACGAAGTCACAGTGAACGTAGACGAGTGATCACACTCTGCTACTCAGTTCGAGTTGAAACGTTCAAGACGTCGGTCGCATTTTCAATTTACTCTGCCGAGACAGAAATACAAATATCACCAAGTGTGGAATATTATTCATCAGTTGAATTTATAAAGAAGACGAACATTTTTACAAAGTCCAAAAAATAAATGGATTATTTGAGAAAAAATCATTACATGTGAAAATTAAAGTGTTATTTTTAAAAAAAGACTCAAAGAAAAGAACATTGCTACAAAAGGATTATTACTGAAAAAAGTAAATAAATCAGTTGAAAAAAAAATTTCAACAATAATTTTGTGAAAATAAAATGGTCGTTTTAGAAACAGGAGGCTCAATGGTTACCATCGGTAACACACAATATTTACAACCGGATTATTTATCACCACTTCCAACTACGGTAAGTTTCATTCGATATTTTTGTGAAAAAAAAAAAAAATCGAAAAAACGAACCAAATTCATTTTCGTTGAAAAAAAATTGAAATTATGAGAATTTGTAAAAAAATCGACATTTTTAAATTGTCATTTTAATTTCTTTTTGTAAAAAAAAAAATAAAAAAATCCAAAAAAAAAAATTCAAGAAGTTTTAAACATTTTTAAAATTTGAAACAATTTTATTAATTTGACTATGTATTTTTTTCTTAATTTTACAGTTGGATGCAAAGAAAAGTCCATTGGCATTATTGGCACAAACATGTAGTCAAATTGGTGCCGATACAGCTGCCATCAAACCAAGCTCTGGATCAATGGATAAAAATAAAAAATCAGAAACATCAAAATCTCCATCGACAATATCGAAAACGCCACGATCAAATACATCACCGCAAGAAACACGTCCGTTAGCATTCAAGCCATACGAATTAAATGTACTAACAACGAAAGGTAGTGATGATCGGCCATCATCAAAAGCCAGTAGTACAAATGGAAGTGTTTATGATGAGAAACAAAAACAAAGTGCCCGTGTGCCATCGCGAAACAAAACAAATGGTTCGCCAATCGAATTAAGTGCAGTGAATAACAATAATAGCCGTGAAACAAAATCAGAAAGTGGAAGTGTTGGAAAACAAACGCCAATCGGTTTGGAACGTAAATCAACATCACCCAGTGGTTCACAACGTGGCAACAGTCCAATAATCCGTTCTGGCTTAGAAGTACTGCACGGTCATTCATCAAAAGACTTAGCAATGAGTGGTGCATTCAAGCCAAATTCATTCGGTTTAAATCCATTGGCTGCATTATGTTGCCCACCCGGTATGGAACAACATGCATCAAATCCAGCATTTCGTCCACCCTTTGCAAATGGTTTTGCTCATCATCATGCTGCTATGTTGGCCGCTGCCGCTAGTTATCCACCAAATACACAAAATCCATACATTACGTATCAACGCATCAAAACTCCATCAGGTGGTGAAACGGTTATACCGATTTGCAAAGATCCATATTGCACTGGATGCCAATTTTCACAACACAATCAACATATGATGTTGGGCATCCCATGTCCGGCTGGATGCACACAATGCGAACAACAAAAATATGGTTTAGCCATGGCACAAGCAATGTCAGGCATACCACCAAATAATCCATATTCACAGGTTGATCGTTCTTATATGTGCACATGGGTTGTTTCCGATGGATATTGTGGAAAACGTTGTTCCTCATCCGATGAATTGGTACAACATTTACGAACACACACACCAAATCTATCCGATCCAACAGCAACAGCCGTTTTAATGCAAGCCCAACAAAGAGCAATCGCTTCAATGCATCCATTTGGACAATTATCGCTAGCATCGTCATTGCATCGTGGCTACCCAACCGGACCACAATTGAGTCCATTGTCATCGGCAGCTCGGTATCATCCATATGCAAAACCAAGTCCGGCCGCAGCCGCCGCCGCTGCTGCTGCTGCAGCCACACTACCCGGTTCACCTTATGCAACATTTAATCCGGCTGCTTTGAGCAATCCATATTATTCACCATATGCATTATATTCGCAAAGACTTAACGCAGCTGCTGCTGCTGCAGCCATCAATAACCAATAAATCACCACTCACTCAAACACTCAGTAAAACTCAAATTTCAAGCACCTAGTGAACACAAATTAGTTTTTGAGCATGCAACAGAAGAGAATTAAAGAAAAAAATTACACATAAACAAAAAGAAATGAATATCATTCGCAACAATTCAATTAAGTCGACGGATGAAATTCGATTTGTTTCAATGAATTATTGTCCATTTCTCTGAACAGCATTAACAACAAACCCACATAAATACATACATACATATAAAAAAAATACATTTAAAGTCTATTCTGTGATATTATCGATTTGTTTTAAAATGATGATGAGAAGGAAAAAAAAGAAGAAAAATGATGAGAAAAAAAATGCGATGAAAAATGTTTAGAGTATCGTTTCGATTAAGAGTCGAGTTCAAAAATTCAGTGAATGGAGAACGCAAAGATTTAAAAAAAGTTTTCACCAAATATTTAATTCATTTGAGTTTATCGATTTAGAGTCAATTTATCTCAATTTATTAATTTTGATTGTACGTTTCTGTTTATTTTTGTTTCTTTCCTTTCGTTTTTGGCCTCTTAAAAGAAGGAAAGTCCAATTTTACCAACACACATTGCAATGAATAAAAAACAAAAACGCAAATATTATTGTAAATAAATGTCGAAAGTAACAGAAAAAAACACACAGAGAAATGAAAACAAAATAATTTTTATTAAGATTTAACGTTCTCTTATATTTTTAAGTTGTATATTGTATATGAATATTACTGTAATAACATTGACTTAATGATGAAATTCGATTAATTTAAAAACCAAATGGATTTAATTATGGATGCGAAAAAGATCAAGAAACAGAGTAATAAAAGCAAAAAAAAAACGTGAAGATATACACAAAAAATTAAATCTTATCTCTTTTATTTCGTCTCTTTTTTTCTCTGAAAATACTTTTGTAGCTGCTGCTGTTGTTGTTGATTTTATGGGCGTAAAAGATCATTTCTTTTCAGTTTTTATCGCTTTTTTCTACGAGATGGCATTAATTAGGTTTCTTGGTGAAGCGGTAACCCGATTTGAAGGTTTTTGAAATCGTTTGCTTTCTTTCGCTCGCACAGCCTGGGAATTTAATTAAACGAGTTTTTTTCTTTCGTTCATTTCAATCTGATTAAAGGCGATTACACTTTATGAAAATGTATGCGATTAATTTACAAAAAGAATGAAGCGAAGCGAAACACAAATGGAATGAAAGCCATCAACACACATTCACCAACTTCTAAATTCACTTGGTGCGTTTTCGATCGCATTTGGATTATTTATTGCTGTCGACATTTTCCACCGGCTACTACATCATTATTATTATTTCTCTTGTACACGAGCGCGCGCTTAGAACACACACACACATTGCTTAGAAAGATTTTATCAGGCTAAAATGTTAGCCGACAAGCTATTAATCATTTTGTATATGAACGCGACTGATTATTTATTGCATGAAATTTGAAATGCGCCCGTCAAAATATGACAAGTGGAAGAATGTTCGGCAGTTCAGTTTTCCCTTGTCAATCCAATCATAATTATTACGTAATAAACGAAATGGATTATAGTATTTGTGCCAATCTAACTTACCCCTCATTTAATGAACTTACGTCAGTTGCACGAGAACTCGAAATAAACACCAAACGTATACCATCAACTCTCTCTCTCTCCCTCTCTCACTGTAACAACACGACGACCAGCAGAACAACAAGTATTATTATAGAAGATTTGTGAAGAATTGAACGAACGAACGACAAAAAAACATGACATGTCGAATAAATAATGCATACATTGAAGCTCAAAGAAACGAACGAACAAGCAAACAAATTCGAAATGAATAACGGAATGAGATGCAAGCAGAGAAAAAAAACCTGGAAAAAGGAAGAGGCAAAACCAAAAGAATAGAAGTGACTAAAAAAAGAATTCTTCAAAAAAAGAACGACATTAAATGCCATTCATTATTATTTATTTAGACATAAATTTCATTGTAATGAATGCACGTTAAATGAATGGCCATTTCCGTTCTACATCAAAAGCACAATTCTGACACATTCATCGAAAAGTGCCTGTCTATCTTGACGTCGTTCGATTCAATGCAATTCGTTTCGTTTGTTCCTTTTCGATTGCCTCTCGCTCCCTCTTTCTTTCTTTCTCTCATTGTTTTTGTTCACTTGCTGCAGTGCGACGGTAAATGGTTTTGCGGTAGTTTTTCTTTTTTGGTTGAACAGAGAATAAAAACTCTCATCGACATTCGGTAATGGTATCTCGTTACGCCAATTGAGCCTTGGCTTTCTTCAATCAAATGAAATGGCTCTCTAAAATTAGAGCAACCATATGAACTTGAATGAAATAATTGAACGAACGAACGAAACGAAATAAACCGACCCAAAAAATATCACATCACTTACGTGGCCAGAATGAAAGGAATTAAAAGTTCTATTGTTTGATTTCACATGAAAATTTGAATGAATGACTGGATTAAAAGGCTTCAATTTTTTTTAATAATACATCATTAGCTTGTCAACCTTAACGAAAGCACAGCGTCGCCGTGTCACTGTCACTTACTTTTATCGACTTGAATACTAAACACATTCGCTCTATTCCGCTTCACCACCAACACCAAACACAAAAACACACATACACCAGTCACACGCATTCACTAAACGTCACCGCATCTCTCACTCGCCTTTTTGGTTCGGTCTTCATTTAGTGTCGTTTTTTTTAAGTTGCCAATTACTTGAGCTGACAGCTGATTTTTAACACGTAATGAAAATGTTATAACAACAATCATAATCAATGGTTTAGTTTTTCAGTTTTGTTTTCGCGTCATTCTTCTCATGTTCAAACGAAGAAAGAGAGTGAATGAGTGAGAGAAAATCTACACTCACATCAAATATCAACGATATTATGTGTCGTGTCCGCTATATCCACCCCATTGAGTTAATAGAGGTTTTGAATTCCATATTGTCGCTTTTTAAAAAACAGGCACGACATTACCGGAAAGAACGAATCGAGAGAAAAAAACAACAACACATAGACGAAATATACCATGTGCAAGAAGACAAAGGATAACAGAGAAAGAAAAGAAGAAGCAATAATAGTATGTAATGATGAATATATGTGAAACTGACATGTTGAAGTGACATATTGTGCTTTGTGATATGACACATGACCTGAAAAGGACTAGACGGCTGGAAAGAGTACTGCTCTCAAAAGGAACATGTCTATTGTTCTACTCTGACACATTTGACAATAGTATTTCTTCTTCCCGGTGGTTTTTCGTTGCCATTCACATCGACATAGAAATTCTTTGGTTTTGTGAGATGCGAACGAAAAAGACTTTGTCGGTGATCTTTTTGCCATCACTTCTAATTTCGTTTATATGCTTGATGTTTTTGGCATTGTTCAATAGCCACACTCATTTTTCTATTTGGTTCATTAAATGCCATTGTTAATTGTTAATGCCAACGACAAACCGACGAATACATGCCACACCGATAAATATTGGCCGAAATTTAGTGAAATTAATAGATAGTGACATTTCGTTGAATTTCCAATTTGAATCAATTGCAGCAACAGGTAATTTTGATAAGAAAAAGAGATACAGTCAGATGTGTAGACATTTCTGCGTGCCAGTCGGTAAACACTATAATTATTATGCAATGCATGCACAGACTTTATTCTTGGAATTGTTTTCATTCTTTCTCCTTCTCACTTTCTGTCACGACTTCAACAGATGCATTCAGTCGCTGTCATTGTGCAATGTTCTTTTTCCATTGCCGTCGGTTTTTTTTCTGCTCTCTCGCTTTTTTCACTTGACATGTCTTTACATCTCGTAAAAACATATTTCTCTTGTTCTTTGTGTCAGTGTGTGTGTAATGGTCGAGAAGTTTATTGAAATTTCTCGAGTTGGCTCATTTCAATTGGCGACTTGACTTGGATCTCTTGTTCTTTCGTTCGTTCTCGTCTGCCTTAAAGCAAAAGAATTTCTCACATTGAATAAAGAATGAGGCAATCACAGCAAGCAACAGAGAAAAAAAAAATAAAAGAATTAAATGTTAAACTGGCACATCCTTGATGACTTGATAAAAGCGCAACACAACGACGACAATGAAAAATGGAAGCGCGTGAAAACGGATATATATATTTTTTTGCAAATCAAACACGATGACATATTCATTCTCGTCCATATCGATATAATTATATTGTTGAATTCGATATATGTACAGCAATATATAACAATGAATTGAGAAAGTACGAAAAATCACACGTGAAGTGCCACTTATAAAATCAAATAATAAAACGGCACACACCATTTAATAACGCGGCGCATACATGACCAAAATTAACGGCAACCAGTACAAAGTTTGCAATTTAAAATAACATGAGCGGGCGAACAGCAAAATGGCGCATGAAATAAAGAGAGAGAGAGAGAGAGAGAGAGAGAGAGAGAGAGAGAGAGAGAGA